CACACACACACACACACCCACACACACACACACACACACACACACAGAACAACAAGGGGGGGACCAAAAAACAAAAAGGAAATTATAGTCCAGGAAACCGAAGGCAAAGAGTTGGGAGGAAATGGAAGCGGGAAAGGAAGGGCCAGGCTGGAGAGGGAATAGAACATTATGGACAACATGGCCAGATGACCTGTGAGGCAATGTAAGGGCTGTGGGAATGAGGAACGAATGGGGTCGTACTCAATACCCTACACCAGAGCCCTGGGAACAGGAACTTTGTGCTCTTGCCAAAGCTACAAAGCATTTATTTCAGGAAAATTCCTAGAGTCTTGAGGAGAATAGAAACCTAGAAATATTATTCTTGCTTTACCAGGGACTTATCATCTCATCTCTCCAGATTCATGCCTCCTCCTGAAGGACTAGAGCCCAAGGTTAAGGACCAAAAAGCAACACTAACCTTACTTTGGAAGAAATTCAGGATTTGCACTTCATGCTCACAATTCCCAAGTGAACAGCAGATGGCAGCAAAGAGTTAGAAAAGGAGCCGGGCCTCTACACTATCAGGAAGTTTCACGGTTTGGTTAGGTGCTCTCACCCAGACTGGGAGTGAAAGGGACATCATTCTTCCTGTCTTGTCAGCTAAATCCTCACCAAGCTCGGGTGACAATGAGGTATTAGCAATAAAAGCATGCCACCTCTTCTTACGGTCCTAGTTTGCATCTCATGAGTTAGGGACCTCAGGTACTAGAAGTATTTCCTCTAAGAATATACAATTATCCACCCGGAAATGTGCAGAGATGAAGATGAATTGACCTTTAGAAATGACATTCTTTTTCCACACTCCCCTCTGTAGCACTTACCATGCTATGTTGCAATACTCTCCCTTCCCCAGGGCCCCCATTCACAGCTACAAATGCCTGACACATAAGAGGTGGTCACCAAATCCACATTGGGTAAATTGTTGAATTGAAGCAGAGGAGAAATGGCACACACGAGACAGAACTCCCAGGATGATGTGGTAAAGACAAAGCCATCTGGCCTTCTGAATAGTATGGTATGTGGGAGAAAGCCTTAGTCACGGAAAGTCTGGCTAGTCTTTGAAATATAGATTTGCTCCTTAGAGCAATGGACAAAGCATCTAATGTTTCTTGGCCTTAGTTTTCTTGTCCATAGGAGAGTCCATCAATAAACTATTTAAAAGTGTACTTAAACAAAACAGCCCACATAATCTGCACAGAACAAGTAGTCTAGAAAAAGGCAGTTACTATTATTTACTGTGGCTCTCACTACAAACACTAGTGTTGTAGCGTCCCAACAAGTGGGAGGCTAAAAATAAGAAACAAATTGCCATGAAGACTCAGAATCCCTATTTCCTCAGCTCAGCTGCCTCAAAAGACACAGAAACAAGCCCAACAGAGGGCTGCAGAGAACCAACCCTGTTTAAAGGGCAAGGCATCCTAGAAGTCTCTCCCCTAACCTCCACTCCCACCCCAGAAGGAAGAGCATTAACTACCTGGTATTTTCCATGGTAGACCGATGTCACCCAGCTACTGAATAGCTTTTGATGGTGAGCTCAGAATGCAAATTCATTTCAATGACAGGTATGTGGATTTGGCCATACTTCCCAGCACACATCTCAGAAGAAAAGGTGTTCTGGTTCCATTCGGAATGCATGAACTTCTGAGATCTGACTATTGCCTATGCCACCCTCGACAGAGCTGAGAAACAGCAGGAGTCTCCTGGATGTAGGAATGTTAGACTTCTCGGCAAGTTCAGTAAGGAAAGCAATGCTTTCAAAGGAAAGGGAAGAGTTCTTTGACAGCATGAGACCCCTAGTGGCATCACAAGGTTAAAGCAGCCTCAAGGAACATTCAGTCACCTTGTGGAACAGACCAGATGGGACCAGGGAAGGGGAGACAAATCAGTGATGGGAGGCAGCTGAGCCCAACAGTACTTCAGGAGTAGCAGCTAGTGAGTTCAAGGCCCCAGGTGGCCTCGGGCCATTCTGAAAGTGATAGAAATGGATCCTGACTGTCTGAGGTGCAGTAGGAGAAGGGTTTGTTCCCCCCCCCCAAAAAAAAAAATCCCAGTCACCCGGACAGACAGGCTCTGGTGCTGAGTAGAGAAGAAAACCCTCCCCTTCTAAAGGCTTTCAGGAAGCTGCAGAAGGTACAGAACTGTCCTGTCCTGTCTATAACAGAGATCACTAGCGCTTTGGGTTCCTTTGCAGCCTGCCTACTCCTGCTTGGCTAAAGTGATGTCCATAGTCCTTTTTTTACATGGAGGAGGTTATTTTCATCTGCTGATGTCTTCAATCCCATAATCTCTTATTCGGTGTACTTCCTACCCCCTTGAGTAGCTTTTCCGTTTCTGAGGCCATGGATATAAAGAGCAAGAATGCAAAGTGTCTTGAGAGGATGGAGTACTTCCCTCTTTCCTACTCTGAAGTGCACACTGGCGCGGGGGGGTGGGCGTGCAGAAGCACAAAGATCACACAGTATGCTCAGTATGCTGGGTGCCATGCAAACCCCAGGCTATCACCAAGAACGCAAAACTTAGATTCTGTGACAGGTAGTCAGTCAGCAGGGTTGGTTCTGAACAGCCCCCATGCTCTTTGCAGGCCTCTTTCGTGCCCACAACCCCAGGGCCTTGGGACTGACATTAAGCATGCTGTAGATACTCAAGTAGGCACCCAAGAGAGTGTGACTCCTCCAACCAGAGAGAAAGGGAAGGTGTGAGGATTCCACAGGCGTATGCTTTGCTGGCCTTACCTCCTTTCCAAAGCAGGTATATGGGGACCACGTAGAGCATCACATGCTGGATGTAGTAAATCTCCAGTTCAAAGGGGAGCTGTGGGGATAAGATGGAGAGAGGCAGTTCAGAACAGCTGGCTCATTAGACTCCGCTAGACACCCTTAGCCTTCAGGACTCACAAGGTGGCAACCTGGACATTTCATCCATTCACCTGGCATCACAATTCAAGGAAAAAAAGATCAAAATGAATGAACTTAATCATCCCAACTGGTATGTTCCAGCGGGAAAAGTGTATTAAAATTGAATGGGCCAGGCGTTGGTGGCGCACGCCTTTAATCCCAGCACTCGGGAGGCAGAGGCAGGTGGATCTCTGTGAATGGGAGACCAGCCTGGTCTCCAGAGCGAGTGCCAGGATAGACTCCAAAGCTACACAGAGAATCCCTGTCTCAAAAAACCAAAAAAAAAAAGAATGGATGTTGCATAAAGCAATATATCCACTCGGAGATTCACCATGAAGACCACTGGTGAATGACAGACTTCAGTGGTTTCTGCAAAGAGGGAAGCTACTTTAACATGGTTTGTATGGCACTTTCTCAAGTGCTTCTTTAAGAAAAATATATTTGTGCTGGGCAGTGGTGGCACATGCCTTTCTTTAATCTGAGGACTTGGGAGGCGGTGGCAGGTGGGTCTCTGTGAGTTCTAGGCTAGCCTGATCTACAGAGCTAGTTCTAGGACAGTCAAGGTCACCAAAGAAATCCTGTTTCAAAAACTATATATATATAATATTAATGATATTAAAAATAATAATACTCTGCAAAATACATTTGAAGAAACAACCTTATAGTTCCACACCTGGAAAGCAGATGGCAGAGAATGTCATTTGACAAGAACATTCAACGGAGGATTTATTAAACTCATATTCCAAATGAAAACCAAAAGGAGTCCTAGGTGTGGCCAAGTCCAAATCCAAGAATAATGGGTTTCCCCATATGATAGATGGGTGTCGGTTGAGGCTTTACCCAATTTTAGAGTAAATACTAAGGAGCTGGGCCAAGTCTGACGGTCTTCCAAAAAGACCTTCCATGCTCTCCCCATGTCTAACACTGTCTCACCCATTTCCTGTCTCCCTCCAAACAGAAGTCCTGAGAGGATGACAAAGAATATGACCAAGATATGCTGTATGAAATCCTCAAAGACCAAAATGCAAAAAACAAAAGACAAAACAAAAGTCAGTGCTGGACTACAAACTCTGGAGAAACAAAGACTCTTGCCAGGTGGTTCATCAAAGGCAAATTCTCAACCCCTGAACACTTGGGCGTGCTTGCTTGCGTGCGTGTGTGCGTGCGTGCGTACGTGCGTGCGTGTGATGCACACAGACCCCAAGGCAAGCCCAGGAGACAAGAACTCCAGGGAAGGTGTCAGCTGCTTCCCCGCTCCCTTCAGTGTAAGCACAGAATCAAGTCTGTGTGCTAATGAGAGGAAACAGTTACAGGCACCCAAAGCACATGAGCCCAAGGCTGCCTTGTGCCAAGAGCTGAAACCAAGACCTGGCAGTGCTCCCAGAGTGGTAGCTGGGCCAACTATGGACCCTGGACACAGACAATGGCTCTGGCTCTTGACTACAGAATTCCACACTGAAGGAAAATTTCCCAGGGGCCGAGACAATACACAGCTCCTGCTTTACGTTCACAGAGGAATGTCTAACCCTAGAAAAAGAGACAAGGTTCCAAGCCAGTCGGTAGAACACGCTACAGATGGTTATGCCATCTGTCACACTAGCACAAGGCTGGTATGGCTGCCTAAGAGGCTCTGAGGTGAACCTAACTGATATGGCTAAGAATGACTACAATCATTTAATTTGGAGTATTATTTTAGGCTTTTCAAATTAATATTTTTATACCATGAGCTATTCAATCTCTCACCTTTGACAGATGAGGGACCTGAGGCACAGAGGCAAACGGGGGTGGGTGGGTAACTGAATTATTTCAATGAGGTCACCCAAAACCAGACAAGGAGAAAAGGACCCCAGGAAGGTTTGGCTCTCTGGGTATAATCACAACACTGACCACTCTCCAAAATGAGCCTGAGGCGGGGCTGTCATCGCATAGCATGGAGCACAAAACCAGATCAAGGCCATGTGTCCAACAGTCCCTGTGAATCCCCATGCAGTTCACCTGCCCCCCCTCCCCCCCCCCCCCCCCCCCCGCGCCCCCCCCCCCCCCCCCACCCCCCCCCTCCTAGATAGCAAAGCATCCACCTGCATGCCCTGGGAGGCAGCTGTACACAGCAGTTTTGCAAGCTTGTTCCTTCTGTGTTCTAGATTCGACTCTGCTACTCAACACACCTGTGTCTTTGGGCAGTTACCTAACCTCTCGACTCTATTTCTGACATTAATAAAATACAAATAATTATGTTGTTCTAAGATGGGTCTATATTTTTATAAGACGTCTACAGTGCTTCTTGTGGGTCAGGAACTACTATTATGAAAACACTTTATAAAATATTAAATATACTGCCTCAACTATGTCCATTTTACAGATTAAGAAACTGGGGCCCAGAAAGGTTAGATAATACAGCTCAGTACCGAGGCAGGATTCAGATGCATGCAGTCTGATCTCAAATGGATAATCTCAGGCAGTACATATAGTCAGTCTTCACTTGGGGGGATTGGTTCCAAGATCCCAACATCACATTCCAAAACCTGAAGATGCTCAAGTCCCTAGCGAAAAAGCAGTGTAGCCCTTGTCCCTTGTGTATAGCGTATAAACATCTGCCTAGACATTTTAGGTACTGGGGGAGTTTCTATTGCATTTTAAAATTTTACATTTACTTTATGTGTATGGGTGTTTTGCCTGCATATATGTCTGTGCACCATGAGGGTGTAGTACCCAGAAGAGGTCTTATGGTTCCCTGGAATTGGAGTTACATGTGGTTGTGAGCTGCCATGTAGGTTCTGTGAATTGAACAAGAGTCTGCTGGAAGAGCAATCAGTGCCCTTAACCACTTAACTATCCCTCCAGCCCCCGTTAATTACTAATCCATTTATTTATTTTATGTGTAGATGTATATATCTGAATGTGTGCGTGCAGTGCCACAGAGGACAGGAGGGCACCAGATCTTCTAGAAATAGTTACAAGTGGCTGTGAGCTGCCCAATGTGGGTCCTGAGAACTGAACCTGGGTCCCTTGAAAGAGCAGTGCATACTCTTAACCGCTGAACCATCTCTCTAGTGCCTGCCCAGATATTTTAGGCCAGGTCTGGCCACATGCCCCCTAAGACAACTGTGAATGCAGGCCACACGTGTGTAGATCACAGTGTCATGTCACAATGTCAAAAGGTTGGATACCCATGTTAAGTTGTATATAGATGACTTATAATCCCCAATGTAAGCGCAGATGCTGAAAAAATAGTTTTTGCACTACATTGTACAGGGGAATAATGACAACAAATGTCTGTACACGTTTAGGATAGACTAACACTTCCAATACGTGCAATCCAGTTGGTGAATCTGTGGGTACGGAATCTGTGCTTGACCAACGCATGGCTCACTCCGTCTCCAAAAGCCTGACACATGGAAGGTGCTGATGCAGAAGGCCACTGTTCTCAACCAGAGTGGTATTAGTGGTAGGACATACAGGTGCTGCAATGGACCTAGAATATGTCCCTACTTGTCTCTCTACATGGTTATGTTGTCTGGGCCCTTCCTGTTGAATTGACCATCACCATCACTGTCTGCTCTGCCCACTGTCACTCCAGCACATTTAGAATGGCTAATCTTTTCCTGCAATGGAGGATTCCTGAGCCTGTTGCCGCCAGACCTCACCGGGAGTACCCGAGACACCTGTTCAGAGGCATGCAGTGAGGGTTGCCTTGCTCCTGCTCAAGAGTTCCCTACAATGGAATGCCACAGAGAGAGCTGAACTAAGTTGAGACGCCAAATCACAAGGGTTGGGGGAGGGTCGGCATAAAGGTGGAAGTGTGGGAGAATAAGGAGAACGAAGAACAACAGAACTGAGAGCTGGAAGACCATCATACTAATAGTAGGATTAAGGGAGCAAAACCAAAACAAAAGACACAACAACACAGGGAGCCGAAAGGCAGCTGGAAATGCAGCACTTACCACCTAATAACAAACTGTACTTACTAAGCACTTCTATCAAGCACTGTTCGAGGGTTAAATAAAGTCTTCGGAGTTACTGTAACATTTAATTAGTGCAAATTTCCCATGAAGTGCTTATAAATCGGAAATGGTTAGACACATTTGACAGATAAGAAAAACTTAATGGCTCTTTTTCCGCCGCAAAAATCCGGGTGCTACCATCACAGCCTCCTTACATTGATGCAACTCAAAATCAAGAGCCATAAAAAAAGGTTTTGAGCAAGACAGATCATTAACTTTTTTTCTCACTTCCAAGTCAAGATGATTTTTAGCAAGCGGAAATCAGCTGGGAAAATTATCTAGTCCTTTGGAGTCGAACTGTCCGAAACCTTAGAAAAATGGACCCTGTCCATAGCAAGGTCCACAACTTGCTTCCTTCCACCTCACAAACCTGATGGTCACACCACCATATTCTGCTGTGGAGACAAGCCTCCTGCACCCTCCATCCTTGTTTACTACAATCATCAAAAGATGGCCAAGACACCCAGGTCACCTGAACAAAACGTCAATTCCAATTTGACTGTATCTCTGCCCATCCCGTCATCTGCCTCATTTCTCAGGTTCTGAAATCCTCCTCTATCCTCTGGGTCCCTCTGGCCATCCCTAGTCCAATTTTTTTTATTCCCTTCCTCAGAAAAAGCCACTCCCTTGTCGTTTTAACAAATATTTCAGTAGCTCTGTGAAGATGCTGAAGTCCTCACAGCCTTCTCAGTGGATGGCTGTTTTCCCTCATGCTATTCACTGCCCTGGTGATTTACTTTCCTTATCTAGCAGAGCTACCCCTAAGTCAGGTGGAATCTGGACTGCAAGAGAGCTGGAGGAGGTAAGAAGAGACACAAATAAGACAAGTGGTCCACACGTATAACACGGTTATAAAATAGGTGCAAACACATGTGCTGGATGAAATTCTGAAATGCACAGAACTCATAACACTTTC